TGCATATATTCTGACTCCTTCCCACTTGGGTTCCCTCCCTATACAAAAATGTCCTGGGCTGCCCTACCTATCTCTTCCCAACCCCTTTTTGCACAAATCCTGCTGTGCCAGCCTTGTTCGCACCAGTGGGAGGAAATTCCTGATCCCTGCCAGGCTTTGAAGCTGCTGTTGGGGCCTCCGGCACCCCAGTCCTGCTGGTTTTCCACTCTCCCTGGCTCACTTACAGTGAGCCCCAGCTGTGTACCTGTCTATGGGGAAATGCTGCAAAAAGCAGCTTGTGAGTGGTAGGGTCACGGCACTCCCCTGGATCCAGCCCTCCTAGGAGAGATTTTCCACTTGAGCTTCAGCGCAGCTCTTAACCTCGGCACGTTACGGCTGGATTTGAGCCCTGCCATCCCTGAACTCCTGCTTTTTCAGCGCATGTGCTGTTTTCTTTATCTTCACGGTGCAGAGTAACCCACCCTCTTGCAGATGGGCTGCGATGGCTGGGGACAGTGCTCTGTGACTGCGGAGCTGGGGCGGCTGCCTTCAGCCTGAAATTCAGGCTGCGATCTGTAGGGAAAAATCTCCCTGCATGGAACAAGCTGTTTCAAATAGACTTTCCGTCAGGGGGTTACTCAGCAATGTTTTCTTTTCTTTTTTTTTTTTTTTTTTTTCTGCTGAGAGGCTAAAAAACGCATCTGTGAAGTGCTGCCAAACAAATAAATGAGGGCAGAAAGGTACCTGCTATTTATTTTGGCTGGCGCTGGGGTATGGGAGGAGGAGGGTGAGTCAGCGTTTCAATGCAGCAAAGATCTTCAATCAGGCTGCTGCAAGCGGAGGTTTCCCTCTAGAGGAATACGCCGTCCTCAGCTCCTTGTTTTGCTGAGCACTTCCAGCATCCTTCATCAGGGAGGGGAAACAGGGCTTTTTGAGGGGTGGGTTATTCATGGGGAGAGCAGGTCTGCTGCCAGTGCCAGGCTGGTAACCAAAACAGGGGATGCTTGTCCCGAGGAAAGGGGTTGAACAGCTACGGTGCAGTTTGTGCTTTGAAAACCCAGGGAAAAGATGTGGGCTCTGCTGCCAGGAGTTTGTGGCTGAGAGTGGTTTGTGCAGCACCTGAGCAAGCCTTAGTGGATCCCAACAGGAATGAGGACAGGCAATGGAAAGGAAACTTCAGTAGGGGGTTTTGGAAGAAGGAAACAAAAATCCAACCAAAAAAAAGATGGATTTAAGTTCTGTCTTTGTATCTTTAGCTTGGCTTGGGCTGCACATGTTGGGGGAGGATGATACAGGACCACTGCCTGGCAGGGGAGAGATTTGGGTCCTCTTGCACCAGAGCCAAAAGCTACATCGCTTCTGATTTCCTTCTCTCGAAGATTCATGTTCACCCACCTTGTTTCCCAGACAAAACGCAACCTTCCTTTTGTTGCATCCTGACACTGATGTGTAGATCACGACGGGCATGGGGCAATCAGGGGCTTGCTGAAAGCACCATCCCGATTCCTGGTGGCCCAGACCGCATGGGCAGCACCTCGGGGCTGGGACCAGGTTCTCAGCAGGTTTGGCACGCTGTGAGCCCCATCATGACGGGAAAGGAAGACAGGGTCTTCTTGGGTGGGTTTGAAGAGACCTCGAAGCTGTTCCTCCACCTGTGTGGGTGGGGATCGGTGCAATTTGGGGCACTGCCCATCATGTCTGCCTGGGTGAGGGGCTGCTCTGGCATCAGCCATCCCCTGGGGCAGGAACTTGAACCACTCAGTCTTCTGGCAGCTGTGAAGGTCGTTAGCAGTGAGCACTCATTAGGAGCCTGAAGCTGATTAATGCTCTGTAGCCATTTAGTGCTAGAGCCCAGCAGAGCTGGCTGGATCAGGCCTGGGTTGCTCTTACTCAGCACTAAAAGCTGTTTAAGCAGAATCTCAAATGAGGGACCTTATCTGGATGAAAACATTAAAGCAAGTGCCAGTGAGAAGGAGCAATCGCAGGAGCAAGCAGAGGTAGGGCAGTGGCGTGTGCTGTTTGCAGCCACCCTGAGATGGTGGTGTTTCAGGTTGAACCTTGCCACCTTCCCTTTCCAGCTGGAAATTTGTGTTTTGCCTTGTTCCACCACAGATAAAACCCATTTGTGGATCTTGTGAACTCACCCAGCTGGACCCTGGGTCATAAGCAGCTGTGCTTCTCTTCTGGAGAGCTTAAATTTGAGGGTGATTAGGGAAAAAGGTCATTTTGCAGCAAGTGGCAGCGAACAGGAGCCTGTGCTCCAGTGTGTGTGTTCAGCTGAGGAGCGTGGAGCCACCCAGCAGCTGCAGGCATTTGTCTGCACCTTCTGCATTCAGAAAACCAGGAGAATTGAGGGACTCTAAATACGAGCCATAGCCTTGAGAGATGGGCTGCCCTGTCTCCTTGCGCAAACACCGTCATGTTGTGCTGCTGCCGCCTCATGGATGGTCTTTTACAGAACAGTGAGGATGTCCAGTGAACGGTCTGGAGCAAGTCTTGCGCTGGAGGCAGGGTTCAGATGTGGATCACACCAACCACATTCTGATCCCCAGGTCACAGTATGCCCAGAGAGGTTGGCTTCCAAAGCAGAGAGCAGCTGCTGGTCTCTCTGGGGTGGTTTGTGCCTAAAGGTCCATCAGCTTCTCCCATCACTTCGGGAGATTTTCTGTGCTCACTGAGAGCTCAGAACACCCAGGAAGAGTTGGGCTGCTCAGAGTTATCTTCTATGGAGGTGTGTGCCCGGCTGCCCGCAATGGATTTTCCATCCTGCTACATGCTGGTGGTCTGAGTGGGGAGAGGACACAGAGATATGGTGGAGCACGGCCGGGCTGTGTGGGGACGGGGATGGGCACCTGTGCCACAGCCACCACTGCTGCTTAGTGACAGCAGGAGAGGGCACCCACGAGCTGTCTCTGCCCGTAGCATCAAGTGAGCTGCAGGTTTGAGTGGAAACGAAGGTTTTGGGGCTTTTTTTGTGCCTAAACTACTAGTTCTGCTAAGTAGTATCTGGCGTAGTGTCTGATGGGTGCTGGACTTGAGCCCATCATGCTTGGCCACTTGCTGTGTGTGTTACCTACCTGAAAACCAGGATGGGGGGACTTTGGAATTGATTGCATAAATAGGCACCTTTCCAAGGTAGCTGCTCAGAAGATGATGCGTGAGGGGGGGCTTTGAAGCTGCCAGGAGTGGGGAGAAGTGGGTCCTACCATTCTGCTGCAGTGTGCATGGGCTCCTGCCCGTCTGTGCATCACTCATGGTTCAAGGCGCGCTGCCGGCATGTAACCCTGCCTTCTTTAAAAGCAACCGATGCTGACTGCACCTTCACACATAGTTAACTTTTGCCTCAAGATGGCATTTTTGCTCTTTAAAATGTGTCTAAGGCTTTTTGTGCATCCATAATGACAGATGAAAATAGTTGTCCAAGCAACTTTGCCATTTGACAGCGCATTGACCATGATCTTCCAGTGCTGCCCGTGACCCCTACCAGCAGCTCAGGTGAGGCAAGGAAATACCGTGATGTAGCTCCAGGGCTGGACATACCCTGTGCATATTGGCAAAGAATTACTTTATTCATTCCTCGTTAAACTTTGATATGCCCAGTACTGGCTGACCAATGTCTATATTTCTCCCAAACCAAGACTGGGGTCTCTTTGAAGCTTGGCTGTCATGGCTGATGCAGAAGGAAGTAATCCTGCCGGCTTGGTTACAGGGCAGTGCAGCTCCATGTGCTGGTGCCGGGTGCTTCCATCCTGGGGACGGGATTGCTCCTGGCAGGGGTGAGTCAAAGGAATGGGGGGTCAGGACGAGTGAGTGTGGCAGTCGGGGCAGCGGTTGGGACATGGGGTGTCTACACCGCACCCTTTGTGATGTGAAAACCTCCAAGATGGCCAGCCCTGGCCTGGCAAGTCTTCCTTGGGGGTGGTGATGCTCATTGCTGGAGGAGTTCTCAGAAGAAGATCAATGAAATCCCAAAGAAAGGTTAGTGTAGTCCCTCTTGAAAAGGCAGCAAAGGACTGGCTGCCTGACTTGGGGTGAGGTGCAAGAGACTGACAGTCTGAATTTGAGATGTGTTGAATCCCTTTCTCCCAAGATGGTTTCAGGCATCTTGGGATCTCAGGCTAGAAGCGACATGACAAAGGGCATGCAGGTAGGCTGGGCAGAGTCAAGAGTGGAGCCAGGGCCACATCCTGGCCATGTGCTCCCTCCTGCTTGGCTCTTGTTCCTTGGCCACCCGCAGCTGCGCTACCCTCCATCGTGTCCGAGAGGGAGCACCGCGTCTGCTGTCATCCTGGTATGTTGCCAAACAAGTAACGAGGTGCTGGGGTAAACTGGGAAAGACTTACTCCTGCGTGCTCTTACTGGCTCACGTAATCCTGATCCAAGAGCCCAGACCGGCTCCTCGTGTGCAGCCTGCCCTTGGTATGCACCAACATCGGGACAAAAAAAAAAATGGGCTGAGTCCTTGGGCTGCAGGAGGTGAGAAAAACCTCTGAGGCTCCTGAGTCTTAGGGCTTGCTAAGGCAGAAAGGGGAAATTTGGAGGACTGTTTTAGAAAAAGGGCTGCCCTTTCCTTTTTGTCGTGCATGCCCTTTCCACGCCTTGACTCCATAATCATTGCTCTGCCTAACAAGAGAGACGAGTATGTATTTGGTCATTGCATTGCTTTGAACCGAAGCGTTTGTGGTGTGTGTGGTGTATGCTTACAGCACTGTCACAGCATTAACCAGGAGGACTGTTTTGTCTTCCCTCCACAGCCTGGAAGTGTCTCCTCAGGTAGAAACCAGCTCAGATGCTCCTTCTCATTTTCCTCCCTGCTCCCCTGCCCAGTTTCCTCCTGCCGCTGTAGCCCATCTCGCTAGCATGCCAAGCGCTAACCTCTCTCCCGCTATTGGAGACAGTCAGTCCGGATGCTTGTCCCCTACCAACCCATTCCTCAACTCCCTGCAGAGCAATCCCTTCTTTGAGGACCTCCTCGCTGACCAGGTACTAAATTCTCCTTCACCTACTCACTTTTTCTCTAGTTTCTCGTCTGGGCCGCATGCTTCAACAGAGGTCGCTGGGAACTTTTATTCCTCTGAGGATTGCAGTCCCTCTGCCTCCCTAAGACATAAAGACCCGGAGAGGGAGTCTCCAGCCAAAAGCGTTTGTGTCCCTGTTCCAGAAACTACTCCCCCATCACAAGGAGACCTTCCTCCTCCAGATGAGAAACCTGCCGTCCCTCCTCCCCTCTCAGAGTGGGACGATACCTTCGATGCCTTTGCGACCAGCAGGCTCAAACCAGAACTGAAGAAGGAAAACTTCTTTGCTTCGGTGGCAGCAGAGGGCATGGCTTTTATCGATGATCCTGATGCAGCCAGCCCAACAGAAAGATTGGCTGAGCCAGCTCGCGAGAAGGGGACAAAGGTATTTGAAAAGGCCGATTCACAAATCAGCAGTGAAATGCCCACAACTCTGCGGTCTTGGACAAACTTCTCTGGTTTAGACGTGGGGGCAAACTTGGTGAGCACAACCCAGGAAGCAACCGTGATAGAGGATGTGCTGAGCCCTGTGTCTGCGGGGTCAATGGGAAGGAGGAGGAAAAGCAGCACGCCTACAGTTTGGACAGCTGCGTTTGCATCGGGAAATCCCAGGGAAAAAGAGACTTCAACACAACTAACTGCTGAAAATAGTGCTAGGGAGGAAGGGGACAGTAATGAGGAGGAACTCTCTAGTGCAGGGACAAATGGATGGATGACCATAGCCACCGAAACCGCTCCTGACCTGTCAGAGAGCGCCCGAAGCATGGCTGAGCAGGATCGCGTGGATCAGGAGAGCACATTTGGCCCGCGGCCAGCCTTCCTCAGTGAAGGTGCCTTTGAAGCAAAAAGCGGATCTCGTGCTGCCACTTGCATGTTGCCCAGAAGCACCTTTGCCCCCGAGCTTGCCTCTGAAACCCTGCCAGGCAGCAATGTGGCTGCCGTGCCCCCGCGGGTGCTCACAGATGTGGCAGCACGACAGTTCCCCGTGGCCCCCGAGCCAGGGACGGAGCCCCAGGTTGCTGGTAGTGAGGAGGAAGCTTTCGACATACGGACTTCAGTCTACCGGCTCCAGGCTAGCATGCGGCTCGAGGCCAGTGAAAGCCGTGTAAAACTCAGCTCTGACATCCGTGAGAGGCACGTCGTCCTCTCTCCGTGGACAGGTACCCGAGAGAGGGAGGAGACAGCGGCCGGCTCGGCCGCGCCGCCCCCCAAACCTCCAAGGTGGTTTGCAGCTGCAGGTGGCGGAGGGAACGCTGAGGAGGAGGATGCTTGCGACCCACAGCCGAGGCAGCAAGGCAGCGAGGAGCGATGGGAAGATGTGGAGGGCCCAAACACAGACATAGAGCTGCCAAGGAGTCGTCTGAGCAGCGAGCCCTCTATCCCGGTGTCTCCCAGCCCTCCTGCACTGGGAGTGGACGTAGCTGAAGCAGGGAGCGAGTTTCCAGTCCCTGAGGATGCTGAATCTGATGCTACAGACTCAGCTGCTAATTTGGAGGCGAGAGCTAGTGAGCTGGCAAAAGGGGACACCTCTTTAGGGGAAGACCAGTCAGAGATGAATGAGATGGATGTGGCTGAGCAGTTCGAAACTTGCCCATCGAAGTTTTCCCTAGATGGATTAGGCCAGTCGGGTGCTAAGGAGAGCTGGAGCCAGCAAGCTGTATCTCCTCTGATGGGGACCGCAGACGGTGCTGAGCAGGAGGTGGCCTCCAAACAGGAGCCGTTCCCTGAGGAGCTCAGTATGCCAGGACTAGACCTACCTTCCAAGCTAGACCTGGGCCAGCCGGAAATCTTCTGGACGGCTCTGGAAGAGCAGGAGGCAGCCGGTCACCCTGCGGGTCTCGGCCCGGCGGCACGACCCCAAAGGTTAGCGCGTGGGGAGAGTCCACCCCAGCCGGAGCTGGCATGGGGTGATGGTGAGGGGTGGCACGGGCCGGTGGCCGGCCTCTCTGGGCGAGTGGGAGGCCAGCCCGAGCCTTGCACCTCTGTGGCAGTGGCCAGCCCTCCCCGGGAGGCAGAGCAGGGCAGAGCCCCTGCCAGCGAGCCCAAGGGGCCGTGGCACCGATGCTCCACAGACAGTAGGATAGACTTCAAGAAGGCCGATTTCTGGAAGCCAGATAGGGCAGAGGAGAGGCATGAGCAGGACGCTTCAGCCCCGAGAAATCCCTTTGCTCCGGCACTCAGCCCAAACGCCCCAAGCAATCCCTTTGTGGAGAAGTCACCAGACCCCCTCCCTGTTCAAGCTGTGCTGCCCGAAAGGCTCGGTCAGGGAGGCTTCAGCTTCACCAACCTCCACGAGGAAGCCCTTGGGCAAGGCTTCCAGTCCACTAACCTCCCCAGGGACCTGCTAGGCAAGCCTCCTTTCCTGCATGACAGCCAGCCCTTGGCCTTCTCCACCCCTTTCCTTGTGGCTGCAACTAACCCTAAACAGTTTGATTTCCCTTCCCCTGTTGCGTGCCCCGCGAGCAGTGGGGTCTCTGCCGCGACCAGCCGCGCAGCCGCCCAGCCCTGCCCTTTGCCGCAGTCCGGTGACACACAAGCTTCAGCACTCGTGGTTTTGCCCAGGGAGACACAGCCAGCTGAGAAGCCCTTTTTCCAGCAGACGACCAGGTGAGCACTCCGGGGAAGGCGAAGGGTGTGTTATTTGGTAGGGGTGAACCCTGTCTCCCTTCTGCTCTTATCGGGGGACCGATAAGACTGACCCCGGCTCAGTGTCAGCAGCTCACGGTTGCGCTGACTCCAAGGAGGCCGCTCCACGTGTTGCTGCAGGTCCTGTCTCCCTCACCTTCCCGTGGTCCCAGAGAGTCCAGCCTGAAGAGCTTGAAGCCTTAGCTCTCTCGGATCATGGTAGGGAATGGCCACTGGTGTCCTGTGTTTGCCCTAAACTAGGGCAAACAGTTTGATGCATCCAAGACCTGCCCCAGCTGAAAATTCAGCCACAGCAGAACTGCATCCGCATTTCACTCGATGCTAATTTTGGCTCCATCATCTTCCCTGTGCTTGCAAAATAGGTGCCTTTTCCATGTCTGCCAGGAGAGCTTCCAGCCGTTAATGCTCTCATGAGTTCCTTCATGGCATGTGCACAGCTACCGCCCCTTCCCTTTTCATTAATTCAGCTTTGGTTTCTTTCCTTTTTAAATGACCATCAGGTACTAAAAACCTTCTCTCCATAGCCAAAAAAAAAAAAGCAGTTTCACCAGGACGGTGGCAAAATGCCGTTCTCCCCTCCCTCCTGCTGAGATGCCCATCGGTTATGAAGCAAGTGGGATTTAGCCTGGAGGATAACAGGAATGGGAAGGGGGGTACTGTGGTGGTGCATCAGGGGAACGAAGGGGCTGTTCTTCCCACGTCAGTCTTGGGCCTGTAGAAATGCCGTGAAGCAGAGAAAGATGCTGAGTTTAGGGCATGGTGTCTTGCTCTGTGTCCTTCAGTTTATCTAGTTTTCCTGGTACACCTTCCCCTGGTCTGCCTGAGCAGGAGATTGTCATGGGCTCTGTCTGCCCAGCATATCAAGGATCAAACTCTTATGGTTTATGTGGGGACCTGGGTCTTCTAGCACTGATTTATTTGATCAGCCTCACTTCTGTGACAGAAGGCAAATGGAGCTTTGTAGGGGCACTGAAATGATAAAATCCCGTCTGGCCCAAGAGTAATATTGGTCATGGCCCTGGGGCGAGAGAGGGCAGGAGGATGGGGACAGCAGAACTCAGCTAAGCTCCAGCCCTTCTGCATGGGGATCCCTCCTTGGCTCGAGCGTGGGTTTGATGTGCAAAATGACCTTGGGAGCAAAGACCAGCAAGAGATGGCTCTGTTAGCCGATTTTTTTTTTTTCTATATTGAGGCCAGATCCTCAAATCATTCTTAATTGGATTATTTATCCTCCAACAAATAACCTTGTTCAAAATTTGCAGACAGAGGGTATACAGAAACCTCCTGAATTTTGGTAATGTTTGTTACGTTTCATGGAAAGAGAAGTGTCCTGCAATCCCAAAGGGTAAAATCAAGCAATGAGAAAAGTGTAGTCCCAGGGCTCTCTTTGTCAATGGTATGTGCTCACAGTCATCTTCGGGCTTGACTGTGCATCCATCCAAGGGCTGACTGGCTCATGGGAGGAAAGTGGCCTTGGACCTAGAGCTGGTCATCATGTCAGTGCTGGCTTCTGCCATGAGATGCATCTGAGAAGTCCTTGAACATCTCTGGTCTGGTTTCTCTACCTGTAAAACATGGATGTTTTGGATGCTTGCTGCTGTGATTGAAGAACCTTTGAAGACTTACTGAGGTCTCTGTGGAAGGCTCTGAGGATCTGCACTACTTTGTAAGGTTGGGGAGATGTGACTAATTGTCATGGGGGCGAGAGGCAAGGTGGAAGGGCTCTTTTCCAGGTCCCCGTGGTGATGCTTGCCTTTTCTTGAATCATCTATTAGGCTGGTCAGTGGCACATAGACAAAGAAAAGATACGGTAGAAAAAAGGTGGCTCTCTGCTGGCCATCTTATTCAAGATGGCAAGTCAAATGGTAGACTTGTATATCTGAGTGACACCAGCACCTCCCGCCTAGTCTGGCTGGGGCACCGCCTGGTCACAGTGAGCTGGGCGGTTGTGCCCTCCTGGAACAGCTTCTTGTGTGCCAGGTTTGAAGATACAGCCAGGGAATTCAGAGTCCAGAAGAGCACGTGTTGGGATTGCATTTGCAGATCCTTTCCCGCTTGCCTGCAGCGAGGGAGGGCTCTCACCACAAAACCAGTGCTGCTGGGGTAAGGTGAGTGCTTGGAGCATCAGTTGCAACAGTCAAGTGTACGGAGGCTCCCCTTTCGGCTCTTTGGGGAAGGGTGGGATGGTGCTTTCACCGCTGGGAAGGTGTCTCTGGTCACATCCCCTGGTACAGGTGGGACCTAAAGGACAGCCCGTGACAGTGCTCTGGGGACTCCACTGCCTTGGAGAGCCCAGCAGTTGTGCAGCTCCTTGCCCATCAATCGGGAATTCAGATGTGTGACCATTGTAGCATGTCCTGGCACTTGTGCATGACAGGACTGGGGACATCGCAGGTGCTGAGGTGGTATTGGCACATGCAGCTCTGCACCTTCCCAGTGTCAGGAGTGCAGCAGAATCGTCCTCTTCTGAAAATGAGGTTTCAGGTTAAATGCTAGTCTCTGTGATCTGAATATATTCCCTGTGGAGCCCTTGGAGCTCGGAGAGTGGCTTGCCACATCCACAGACAGACCTGGGAGAAATGCTACTGCTCCTGAGTTCAGTCATTCCCTTTCCTCCCATAGACCCTTTCTTCATGGAGGCCTGGCCCTCAGGTGCTGTGTGCTGCTGCAGGCACAGCAGCTTACCCACGAGAGACTGATTTCCTTGCATTTGTTGTCTTGTTCTCTGTGAGAAGCGTTTTAATGGGTTGATAAAAACTTAATTTCTGAGTTGCTGTAGGGGAATCTCCCTGTGTTTTCACTTGGCTCAGCAATGACCTCAGGAGCATCGGTGAAAGCTGTGTTGTGACACAAGCTTGCTCAGAGAGAGGGACCAGGGCTGTGCCACTGTCACTCTGAGGTGTTTCATCTTGGATGTGTTAAGCTTCATCGTAGACTTATGTCCACTGAGAGACGCAGTACTGGATTAGGCAGGCTGTCAGTGTCAGCAACTAATTCTACTCTCAACTTCACATTCATTGACCGGCGGATGGAAACAGGTCCAGCATCTTGGCAGAGCCATCAGGACTTCAGATGTGGCCGAGACGTGAAGCAACCTCTGCTCCCCTGGAAGTACGCAGTGCCGAGCATCCCAGGGCAGGACGCAGGTGGAGGAATGCCTCTTACTTTTGGAACCTCTCAGAATGACAAGCTGATGGGGGCAGAGCCCCTGCTTTGCTCAGCAGGAGCCCTACACACACTACCCTCTCAGTGGGAAAGAATGGGATAATGATTTTTTTTTTAAATACCTTTTCCAGCTCTGCTAAATTAATGTGTTTCCACTGGCAATGGGGCTGAAGGCTGCGTGTAACCAGACTTACAGTGGGAAATGTCCCCCTGCTTTCAAAATGCATTCAAGCTATCCCACAGCTGTTGCTGGTTTTCATTCTGTAGAGTGGCCTTGGTAAGTTTGGTCCAAAAGAGGTCCCCATCCAAGGTTTAAAATGGTTTGAGTGTTCATGGTGGCCAGCCAGTGGCCTGCAGACCTCTTGCTTAGGGCTGTCAGTCTTCTGCTTCTGCAGCCGTACTCTGGTCTTAGTCTCTGTGCTGGCTGTGGGGATGCTGTGGGGATGCATGAGGTGACAGTGGCATTTGGGGCTGCTTGTCTTCAGATATGGCTGTGATGAGCAGTGCTGGTGGCTCCCCAGCCACTCTCCTTCCCAGACACTGTGTTTTGAGGAATGGTAGAAGTCCTACAGTGGTAGTAGAGCTGCGTTCCCCAGATCCTGCAGTGAACCCCACTCCTTTGGGGCTAGGAAGGAGGCCAGCAGCGGTTCAAGCAAGCAAAGTCATTACTTGTGTTTTTTTTAAAGGACTTGGGAATGAGCAATTTTTCAGGATCTGGGTATGGCCTCCGGTCCAGTTCACCCTCACCCCAGTTTACATCGTAACAAACGGACAACTGCTGGACCCCTTGTAACGTGGTATCATGGTGTTTGTAGCTCTGCTGGTGAAGGGTTTAATCCACAGTGGAGAGTGCTTGAGGCTGATGCGCAGAACAGCAACTTCTCCAACTCCTAACGCTGTCAGTGGACTCCCACTTAGGTTCGTGGGATCCCTCTCCATCATTTCAAGCTGCCCAGGAACCTGGGCTCTGTCCACATCCTTGGACAGCTCTGACAAGGGGTGTTGACCCTTTGGCTTGTTGGAGCTGGTCAGTGGCTACCATTGCTGTCCTCATCCAGCAAATGGATGACAGGGGCATCATCGTGGTTGAAGAGGACTTCTAGACATGCCCTGTCAGCACAATGGGGAAACTACTTGGTACGTCCTCATCCCGTCACCACTGACAAGGCACGAGGACACCAGCCTTGAGGACTTGGGCCGCCTACCTGATGCCTTATGTGATGCTACCTCACCTGATGGGTGAGGTCCCAGCCTCACCCATCATCTCTGACCTGGAGCAGGGTTGAAAGCCGCCTGCTCTGCTTCCAAAATGGAAACAAAGCACAGTCGAGTGCTTAGAGCACAAGCTGGACTTGAGAGGGGTCTGTCCCAGCCCAGCTAACAGCTCACACGGTGACTGTGGGTGTTATTTCTCCTCCCACAACCTGTCCTACCAACACTCTGAGGTCCCCATTAGTAAAGAGAGGCTGCGCTTGCCCGCCTTGCTTGAGAGCTCCTGCAAGCAAGATGTCCCCCTTCCCCTGCAGCGTTGTTTGGATGCACAGCAGTTGGGATTATCACCCTTTGCAGGGCAGCTGCTGCATCTGATGAGCACAGAGGCTTTGCAGAGCTCCTGGGTAGATTTTAAGATCTTTTCATCCCAAATACAGTGCACAGGTCTGTCCTTCCAGGAAGGTAGCATCAGGTCACTTCTCTTTCCATCATGCTGAAAAGCAAACATACTTTGTTTAAGCCCAGAGTCAATCTTCTGGGTGAAGAGTGAGGCAAAAATAAATGAAGGAGGGGGACAAATTCGGTGGTGTCTTCTAGGCAGGTGGAGCCCATTTCTTGGGCTGCGGCAGTGCAGGAACTGATGCACAGTGGTGCAGGAGCATCCCTGAAGCATCAGTGGTGACCCCAGACACTGATCTGGGGGCTCCTGGGCAGCAAAATGTGCCTCTGGGCAGTGGATGTAGCAGCCTCTGTTTATACTGGACCTGGGTTAAATTTCCCCAGCTATACTAATGCCTGGCAGCTGGGAGTTTTGACCCACAGCACTCTCAGTGTGGGCTGAGCAGTATAGGTGTGGGCACAGGGATCCGTTCTGTATCTCAGCCAAACACATGTTGTGGGGCTCCTTATCTCATCTTTGGGTGGAAACGGTGCTGGAGAGTGCTGTGGGCTGCCTGCTCTGCAGGATGCTGGCTCTCCTTGAAGCAGGTGAGCTTTGAGCAACACAGACACAGAGGATTTAGTTGTGTGGAGCTGACTAAATTTGATAAGTGGGTCCTATCCCCATAAAAACCATAGGGAGAGCCAGCAGCATCACTCCCCAGCTTGGGAGGGTGTTAACTGTCCAACCTCTTTGTTCTCCTTAGTCCTCACCCAGTGAAACCCATCAGCGCTGTGGTGCAAGAGGTCTCCAGTGAGAAGAAGCAGCAGCACAGGTCCAGCCTGACGACTGCTTTGAGCAATGGCCTGGAGAAGCTGAAGACAGTCACCACGAGCAGTGTCCAGCCTGTGGCCCCGTCTTCTCACCCGGAGAAAACAGACTCAAAGAAGTTAAAGGTAGGAACCTACCACTGAGGTGAGAGCAGTGTTCCCACCAGCTCGAGGTGTTCTAGAGCTGGTGACAGAAGTGCAGAGAACTGGTGTTGGAGGAGGTAGAAAGGGTTCCTGCCACAGTGAGAGCGGAACCATGTATATTAACCCTGACATCCTTGATCCTGGTTGCCCAGCCTCCCACTGGCCTCCCTTCCCCCATGACCTGGTTTCTGGACCGTCTCTCCCCATCGCTCTTCTCCCATTGCTTGCTTTGGTTTGGGGTTTTTATTGTACAGTGTGTGAGCCAATGCCTGGTTATCTGCAAGAAATGAAAGGTGGAGGATGTGATAGCTGCCTGATTGAAGGCCTGAAGGGTTTTTTCTCCTGGTGGAAGCAGAGGGAAAGTACTTCCTGGAGCCTTGCTCAAATGCTGCTTGCCTGGCTGTATTTCAAACACTGGCATGTTGAGGCAAGCAAAATACCTGTGTGATACGTCTGAAGGCACAGTCTCACGGGGGTGGCTTCTCCTTCCCTTGGTCTGCTGCCACTTCTTCTGCCTCCTCAACTCAATATGTAAAATGCTGCTGCTGGGGTTCACCTGAGTGGAAGGACAAGTACAACCCTGCTGCACCCAGCAAGCCCTTTGTGGTGCTGCAGGTAGTTCATGTTGTGGATTATGAGCATCTCAACTTTTCTGGGATGAGGTCTGTCTGGGTCCTGCTCCCCTGTGCTGCTTCAGCCTGTCTGGCAGCCCCAGCTCTTCTGGGAGACCCAACACCCCCGGCGCTCTCATCCTGAAGGGTTTTTCAGCTTTTATTTCTCCTCTCCTGCCATCATCCAGGCCTGCTGCTGGAGGACTGGGGGAGGGGGAAGCCTCAGAAAGGGGGAGTAGCTAATGGCAGGCCTCATTATGCCAGGCTAATGGGCTCTGTTGTGCCCACACCCTTAGCTTTTGATTGTCGGGGGAGAGAGGTTTGACACAGTCTTTGGGGAAACCCTGCTAAGTGATTCACCCAGCTGGTAGAAGTGCTCCATGGTCACCTCTAACCATATGGAGGAGGCTGCATTGGCCTGGGTGTCTGGGCAGTTGTTCTGTCTCCAGTATTCTTGGGTGACTGCATGGCACATGGGAAAGCTGTTTTGTAAAGACAGGATGTGATAGCTGCACAATGTCTCAGGCTCATCAGGTCAGATTTAGAAAGCAGACAGATGTAGAAAATATGATTGCTTCAGCTGTCGCTGCATTTTGCAAACGCTAAAGGGAGCAGCGGTTTTCATGTGATTTGCTGAATGTTCCTCTTGGTTTCTACCACAGGATCCTACTGTACCGGACCAGTCAGCCAAGTATTATCACTTGACCCACGATGAACTCATCCAGCTTCTGCTGCAGAGAGAGAAAGAGCTGAGCAAGAAGGAGGAGCACATCCATGAACTGGAGAACTACATTGACCAGCTGCTGGTGCGCATCATGGAACAGTCTCCCACGCTCCTCCAGATCCCGCTGGGGGAAAGCAAGACCAAGTAACATCTCCCCAGAGACCAGCATCACTTGCCTAGAGCACTTCTCCAATAAACACGCTGCAAACATCCCTGCACTCCCCCCTCCTCTTACAAGAGGGCTCCAGTGGCTTCTGTTCCCAGAGTTTAGCAGGAAAGGTTATCTGCTCCTTCCCAGCCCAAGCTTGTCCCACCTCTGGCTCCAGGGAACTATAGGGTGATGGGCTGTCATCCACCCTATGGGGAGGAGCAGAGCCTTCCACATGAGGCAGATGCCTCCTTAGGTTCCTGTCTGTGTGACCAAGTGGCATCTTCTCAGGCACTCATCCTGCCAATGCTTTAAGTGGTCCATGGACATTTGAGAGCTGGAAACCAACCACCTCACCCATGTCTTCATCCTGCTACTGCTGCTCTTCTGCCCACACTCTTCCACATCTCTTATCTCTGAAGTGCTGTACCCTGGCTGATGGATGGTGTTAAATAGGTTGGTGACATCAGGGATGCTTAAACTCAGTAAGGGTCTACCAGCATGTTACTGTTTGCTGAGCCTGCTCGGCAGGGCAGCTAGGGGAAGGGACTACTGTTGGATGCCTCTTTCCCTTCCTGCCCCATATGTTGTACCCCCAAATAAAGGGTCTCCGTCTGAAGAGCCAGCTCCAAGTTGTGCCAGTAGCTGACTGTATGGGAGACGCTACATAAAGCGACAGCGCTGGAGTCGGAGGCCGTAAAGGACTCAAGCCGACGTCACTGCCTGATCATGAGCGGTGTTGGTTCCTTTGCTGCGCGCATGCAGAGTTGTGATGCTGCCTCCGTTACCCAGCTCAAAACTGAACTAGCAATACGGGAGAAGGGCCAGTGATGGTTTGTGCACCATCAGTACTGCAGGAGATCTTCTCGCACACCACCCAACCCGGCACTGGGCTGGCTGGCACCAGTGTGCCCTGGGGGCGACTCTTGTATGTATAAATCACAGCTGAATTTTCTACTCAGTATTACACTCCCCCTTTCCTGTGTCCACAGAGGAATTGCTTTCCACTGGCCACACCCCACCATTGACTTTGCATTGTCTTTCTCCGTGCAACAGGAAAATGCCATCGGGACCGAAGCTCGTGTGCAGAGAAGGATGTATGACCACCCGGCCACCTCTATGCATGACATCCTGCTAGGTCAGGCATCCATCAAACACCCTCTCAAAGCTAGCAATTCAGTAATCGTCGCAGACCCCCTTCGAGCCAGTATTAGTGCCAAACACCGCTCCACTTGTATTGCAATCTGCACAGGCCTCTGGCAGCTTGGACCCACCCTTAAGCATTGGAGGCCAGCTCTCTCGGGAGTTGAATGCTTCTTGCTGCTAACTGTTGAGTGACCATCTAAAAGCCTCTGATTTACGTGGTTTAACAACTGTATATGATGCTAGCCTGAGGATGGTGAGCAATGCTCCTGGCTGCGCTGGAGTACAGCGCAGCTTTTGATTTGGAGGTGCTGTGGAAGGGTATAGAAAGGATGTTGCTCCCTCTCTTGGTCTGCTTGGATTTTGGCTAGAGAAGGTGCCCATGCAGGCAGAGGGTCAGTTGGTGTGGGACTTGAGCTGTCTTGACATGTAAGGCATCTTCTCTCTGCTGTAGACCTCTTTTTTAAAACCTTCATATTCTTTTCTCCTTCCTTGCTTCAATGTGTACCATGACTTTGAAAAATCGTGCCTTTTGCAATAGGACAATAGCAGTTTCCTACCAAAAAAGGTTCTGAAATCCAATTCTCAGTTCAACGCAACCCGTCTTGGGCAACTTCCTCTTCTGTTTGCCTGCTAATCTGAACGAGGTGAGTTTATTTTTAAACACAGAGAGCGGAGCCTTCCCACCCCTGTGTGCGGGTTGCTTTTGGTCTTTGGCAGGAGCTCTGCATGGGCAGCTTGTGTGACGTGGGAGGTCGAGACATTAAGAGAAGACATTGGGGGAAGAGCAGGCCAAATGTTCCAAGACAAAATACAGCTGGATAAAGGGCAGTACTGGGTCACGCTCGAAGTCTGAGGTTGGGGAAGCAGGCTGTCGGGGTGAGAGCTATCAGGAGAAAAGGAGATTTGGTGTTGCCATCATTGGCAATGTTTGGTCGTATCTAGCCTGTAGACCATCGTGTGAGGAGGAGGACTTGTTACCTGGGAAGGTACCAGCCACGAGCCTTTCGTTCCTACCTGCCTTTGCCCCTAGGAGGAAGTAATGTGGGGTTTTGCACTTCTCTACCTGTGTCTTCATGTTCTTCCTTCCTCTTTGTGTCTCAGGTGTGGGGACTTTGTTTCCGGTGTAAGACGTAAGGGTCTGAGGGTCTGAGGGAAGGTGTTTCTCCCATTTTAGAAAGTACCAGAAACCTCTCTCTGCCTATATAATCAAAAGATCCTGTGGCCTGAGAACTAGATTCCCTTTCCAGGTGCCTGTCTCTTGTGGAGAAGCTCTCCCTTTTACCTGAAAGCAGGCAGGGAGGAGTTGTGGACAGCTAGAAAGCGGTCCAGTGTCAGAAGAGCGGCGTGTGGCACTGGAAGAAGGGCTGGGAGAAGGGGCAGCCCTGCAGACGGGCAGGGATGCTGAGCGGTGAAGGTGAAGGCTTACATCAGGTGGACGTTAGCAAGGGAGAGACCGAGAGCCAAAATCTCACAATAGAGCCAGGGGCTACTTCCTGAGACTTCTCCCCCAGCAGCAATCGGCATTGTAGCTGCTCCCCACACACAAGTGCCAATGTTTATAAGGATCTTGCTGCACCTCCTCCCGGCCTTCTCCCCCTCCTCTTCCATCGCGTTTCACCGCCTCCCTAATCCCCCTTCTGCCTTAGTCAGCTCTGCCTTTTTTTTTAGTCCAAAGCTTGAATGTTTTGCACTTGAATATATAATCTCAGAGCTACAGCAGGCTGTATTGGGTGTATGGCCTTTTCAGCAATACGTGCTTCCTCCCATGACCTGCCTCCGTCACAGCGGAGCAACGCAGTCCCCGAACTGCCTTCCACCGCAGGAGCCCATGCTGTCTTGGAGGAGGCTGGAGCAAGCAGAGCTAAAATGCTTTTGCCTTCACTTTGCGATAGCAGAACATCTCCAAAGGCCAAGGAGGGGGTACTGCACAGGTACCTTGGCATCGCACGTGAGACGGGGTTGAGGGGGGGCTACAGAAAAAAACAAGCAGTGACAACAGCCAAGGCTGCCCTGATGTTTCATGTCTGTCCTCGAGTGTTTAGAAGTCCAGAGGTATCTACAAATGACAACCCGTGCTTAGGAAAAGGCATCTTAAAGATGCTTCTGTCTTCGTTCTCTGTTTCTCCACCCTTCTGGCCTGCAAATGTGGGGGGTTTTCCCCCCCACCACACAGTTTTTATTCTCTGCGTAAGAGCGAGCAAGCTTGGCTACACCACGCAATAGCACTGAAGCTGGAGGCTGTATAATTTTTTTGTTAAAACCTCTAAGGTACCAGAGGGAAATGGTTTTGAGGAGCTAGATATTTTCTCACTGAGGGGGGGATGAGAAAAAGGAGTGGGGGAAATGTTCTCACGTTGCTCATGTCCAGTCTCCATATTTAGCGATTTATTTGCAAAAACAGGGAGGCGAGCAGCACTTCTGTTCAGTGTGCAGGGTAACACTCCGCGGTCTTTTGCTCTTTGCTGAACCAAGCAGCTGAAAAGGTTTTGATGGGCCAGCAGCAGCTTTTCACTGGTTCCGTTTTAAACACAGCCATAACAATTACTCTATGTTTTTGCCTCCTGGTCTGTCTTTCTCTTTCCACGCTCAAGCTGTTTCACAAGGTCTTCCACAGGGTGCTGTTGCTCACAGCTGTGCTCTGCTTTTGTTGTCAGCCCACAACTGGGTTTCTTGCTTTTAAAGAACTCTGGCCAAGTGAATTATTTTTGCCTTGACTGGCCCTTCTGGCCCAGAGTCATGGGCCAGAAGAACCAACAAGGTATATCCTTAAACTGGAACAAACCTGAAGGGATGTGGATACGGAAGTGTCACATAGACTCAGCCTTACGACTTGTCTGTGAAGAAACCGCCGTGTGTTTTGTGTTATAAACGTGGGGTGGAAAAACATCCCAAAATGGGAGAGATAAGTGTCAGGGTTTTGGAGTTGTTGATTTCCCTGTACTTCATGTATGCAGGAAGTAGGTTCTGTGTGTTTCATGTTTTAATAGTTGCAACTAATGTTTATAAAGAGCTTGTTATTTACGTTTTAAGCACTTTAAAAAAAAATAAAAGTTGTTCAAGCTGTTCCTAGATACTTCTGATTTATTGACAACAGCGTCTGTGCTGATAGCACTTGGACAGCGAGTGACATTTATCTGTTTATTTTCTGAAGCAGGATGACGATGTCCAATGTCTTCGGCAGCTTTTCCAGCATCATCAACAGTCCCCAAGCACCTGCCGCTGTGTGGTGGCTGCAAGGGGTGGTAGTGCTGCAGGTTTACCTTGAGTTCCTCTCCGAATATTGCCCCTGCCTCAGTTGATCGGTGCACCCGAGGGGATTTAAGCTCCTCTTAGCTTTCTTGCATGTGCGTGACAGCTGTGCTGTGTGCTGAGCGACCGCAGGAGCTTGGCTGGAGCGGCCACGCTGCCCCGGGGGAGATCGAATCTGCCTGCAGCTCCCTTACTGCTCACCGTTGACTTTGCCCTGACGTAGCAGGAGGGTAAAGGTTATTATTGCATTCCTGAGGATTTGTGGAAAATCAGCAGCTGAGTAGAGGAGAGAGACCCCACTGCAGAGTGCTGGAGGAAAGGAGAGCTTGTGTTGCATGGTAGACACCGGAGGATTCAGCCTCAGGGTGCCTGGTGAGGAAACCCGGCCCCGTCAGTGCTGCTGCTGATGGGAACAGGCAGCTTTTACCCCCTCGTTGTGGGCCTAAAGCGCTTAATATTTCTCCCCCTCCGTGCAGCAGACCCTGCGTGGCACAGGACTGATCCCCAGCTGAGACCTTCACCTCCGTTTCTCTGCCCTAATCCCACCCACCTGTTTCACTGCTCAGCTGTTTTCCTTCTCAAGGCTTGCCTCTTTCTTCATTCATGCCTTTTCCTTCAAAAAAATTAACTCCCCTTAAGCTTTGATAAATGACTTTGCTGCTCCAACAGAAGAGTTTTCGTTAGCTCTAATCCGTGTTTATTTTTCATCCAGCTGGATCGCAGGACGCTATCGAGCTCAACACCTGTCTGGGGGGATCATGTTAGCCCTGAGAGCCTGGATGGGGAAATATACAACATGCTGCTTCACAGGATCAGGGCACTGAACTATGACCCTCTGAAAGACTATCCTAAGAAAAGACAGCCTGGAATGGCTGGGCTAGTGTGGGCTTCCCCTGGCTGCAGAGGCACAGGGGGTAGAGCAGAGCAGCAGTCGTTGGGAGGCTGGGGGAACTGGAATCTGTCATGTCAGGAAAAAAAAAATATTTTGAGACCTTAGTCCTGCTAAAACTGCTGTGTGTGATTACATTGAGTGTCTCTGCCTGTTTGAAAGCTTAAGCACAGGCTTGGGACGGATGCAAATAATTCCTGTCCTTGCAGGAAGAACTGGCTGGGTTTGTTGTTCGAAGCCTGAGTTTTGCTGCCCGACGCAAGTTTTCTTAAAATCTGGCTTTACAGATGGAAGCCAACAAGAAATGTTCCTGTGACTTTCTCCCTGAGCCAGCAGGCGGCACAGCCCTGCACCCAGCTGTCACTTGAGGGGTGGCTGTCTGAGACCCCCAAATCTCCCTCGGTTTTTAGAGGATCTCGCTCGATGGCTGGGGGCGGCTTCTTCCTCCCCCTGCCAAAATGGGAAGAAACGTCATTGTTGACTTAACAGTCGTTGATCTGGGGAAGCAACCCCCCCCCTTCTTCCCCAACCCAGGGAAATGTGAGTTGTCAGTCTAAATGGATCTGGTTAGATTGATATCAGCCAAAGAATTGATATTCTTTCTGGTATTTAACCAAAAAAGTGATAGTCTTATGTCACTCCAAATGTGGTTTTAGATAAACAGATTCTCTCCCCTCTGTTGTTACAAAACATTTAGTGTGTCAACATGAGGGACTGTATCAATTATCTGGCTCTAGCTGTAATGGGTGGGAGGGGGATTTCCCTTGTGTAGAGATGGAGGGATTTGGGTTATCATCCATATTTATTGAGAGCCCTAATGATTTTGCTGTGTTTATTTTTGTGAAGTACAGGATGAAATCTTTAGAAAAAGAAGAGTTGCTTTGTAAAGCATTAGCCACAGCAAAATGATTTTATTTTTCCTGTTAAGACAATGTTAGAGCTCCAAGCAGTGTTAGATCGTGCCTAGAAGGAAGCAAACCCAAATGACACACTGTCCTTCAGGATAAAGATCGACAGAGCGGAGTGATAAGAAGGGCAGCGGTAAAATGTAGCTGCAAGTGCCGTGGTTGTGCTGGGGGGTGTCAAAAGGAGGTTTAAACTGTGTGAAACCCTGCCTCGGTTGCACAGCTGGAGCAGCAGGCAGCAAGTGCTCCCCACTCTGCACTGCAGCTGGGTTTAATTAAAGTAAGCAAACCGTTAACTCCGAGGACCGGGTACAAGGACAGCAGTGGGTACACTCCAGTGAGCAGGATTTGTTGTCGGACCAGATCTTTGCTCATCATCTGTCCGTTCCTGGGGAGAGTTGTGTTTT